GGGCCAGGGATTTGGCTCAGTGGTGCCACCGCCTGCCTCTCAAGTGCAAGGTCCCAAGTTCGATCCCCGGTACCAAAAAAAAAAAAAGTGCCAGCCCCAGTCAGCCTGTTCTTGCTGTACCTGCCTTACAGATTGCCACCAAGCAAGAGAATAGTAGATACTGAATGTCCGAGTAAATGAATGAGTGGCAAAACTATCTTTTTAGACTTTCAGCTAAGTAGTTTTTCCCTAAAGAAAGTATCTTTGACCGTGTAAGTAAAGGTGTATGTGGTTTTTACTGAGAATCTGGCATTCTCAGCTCCATCTGTGTACCAGGGTTGGTAGCCTGTTTGGGAAGATAATGTGCACTCATGAAAAAAGAATTATTTGACAGGTCAATGTCTACCTAGTTAGAGATGTGGACAGATACTGCATCAATTTCAGGCTAAACATAATGTTTTTAGTTGGGTGTTGAAGTGTAGTACCGGAGCAAATATGTGGGATATGGCTATTGCTTAATTAGATTGATTAACTTGGAAGCCAGAAGGAGGCTTTCTGCTTCTATTTTAGTTGGCTTATATACTCATTTTGGATTGATTGGAGTTTTTTCTCATTCTTTCTTTAGGTTCAAGACAACTTTGACAAGATTGAATTCAATAGGATGTGTTGGACCCTCTGTGTCAAAAAAAACCTCACAAAGAGTCCCCTGCTCATTGTAGAAGAAGATGCATTTAAAATATGGGTTATTTTCAACTTTTTATCTGAGGACAAGTATCCATTAATTATTGTGCCAGAAGAGGTAAGGTGTGGCTTTGGGCAGTTCTTTTACCTGGTCATCTTGGCAATAAATAGAACTGGCCTGGAGGTATTAGTGCTGATTAATGTAGATACTAAAGGAGATCCTTGACTAGTGTTTTTGGATTAGAAGCAAAGCAGCTTAAACCTAGAAAAGCCTAAACTTAGTGGTTTGCAAACAGAGTCGGACCCTACCTCTCTAAATTGTTATGATCACGAACGAATCCATTTTCATGTCCAAAGAGCTTTATTCATTACAGGTCAAACATAATTTCCTTTTTACTTTTGCATATTAGCAAAAGTATAAAAACTGAGCTAGAGTAGGGGATTTAGCTAAGTGGCGCTGCACCTGCCTGGTAAGCGCAAGGTCCTAAGTTCGATTCCTGGTACAAAAAAATCAAAAACCAAAAAAGTGAGCTAGGTGTAGTGGTGCACATCTGAAATCCTAGCACTCTGAGAGGCTGAGGCAGGAGGATTCCAAGTTTGAGCCTTGCCTGGGCAAGTGAGACCATGTCTCAAAAATGAAGAAAAGAAAAAAAAATGTAACTCAGTGCAAAAAACCTGGGCTTAATCCCCAGTACTGGGAAAAAAAATTGGCTGAGTCATGCAGTGATACTCTTGCTAATCCATAAGATCCAGAATGTTCTCAAGGCTGTTTTGTGGAGTAAATATTTTTGTTTTAAAGTCTAGAGTGATGACTTTTTACTGGGCTTTTAAAAGTAAATGAAAAATGAGAACTGTTTGTTTTGTTTTGGGTATTTTCTTTAAGCTTCCAAAGGGGGGAAAATAGAAGTAAGGTTCTGTGCCATCTTACTGCCCTAAAATGTTATACATGTAACTTATGCTCATTATAGTAGAAAATTTAGAAAAGATTAATAGTGTACAAAATTAAAATCACTTAAAAAGAAAAATCATCCAGGGCCAGGGATTTAGCTTAGTAGCACCATGCCTGCCTCATAAGTGCAAAGGTCCTGAGTTTGATCCCTGGTACAAAAAAAAAAAAAAATCTGTAATCCTTTAACCTTGGACAAGCTATTTAAACTCTTCAGTCTTAATTTCATCATCTACAAAATAAAGCTAATAATAGTGTTTATACTAAGAGTTTTGAAATTCTTCATTTAGAAGGACTTAGTTCAGTGCTTCGCATGTAATATGCACTCTTCAGAAAGGCTATACCAGTTCATATACAGAAGTGGTTCTGGGTGCTTATTTTTACCGTCCTGCCAATATGGAGTCTATCTGGCGTGATTCATGTTTGTATTTGGGGTACAGCTGAAATCTGTTTGAAGATTTACACTGGAATATTTTATTTAAAATCATCAACATTTATTGACTGCCAACAATAAGTGAGGCACCAAGGGGAATGCAAAATGAAAATTACTTTCTGTCTTCAAGGAAATTACAGTCTACTGAGTAGAAATATAAGTTAGGTGTAATGTAAAGCAAAACAGCCTCCCTGTTCTAAGAGAGATGCAAATGGGATGTGAATACAGAGAAGGGAAAAACTTTATTCCAACTTAGGAAGTAAGGGGTCAAGGAAGTCTTTTAAAGAGGCAGTATTGGGCTGGGGATTTAGCTCAGTGGTTTCTCCGCCTGCTGCGCAAGTGCAAAGACCAGAGTTCAATCCCCGGTACCAAAAAAAACACCAAAAAATAAAGAGGCAGTATAATGGAGTGATTAAAAGAAATTTCTTAAACTTTATAAGTCAGTGGGCAGACTGTAAATATTTGAAACTTTGTGGGCTTTCAGGGCTGTGATGTCTGTCAGAAGCACCCAGCCCTGCTGTTGAATGGAAGCAGTTGCAGACAGTGTGTAGCTTTGTCTTGATAGAGCTTTCATTTATGGATGTTAAAATTTGAATTTTATATAATTTTCATGGGTCCTGAAATGTGATTTTGAGTTTTTTCACCAACCATTTAAAAATTTTAAAACTAATCAGATCATGAGTATAATAAAAGCAGGTGATGGGTCAGGTTTGACTGGTGGGCTATGATTTGTTGCATTTTGATTAGGAGAAAGGCTCTAGAGTCAGATTTCCTGGATTTGGATTCTGGCTCCATCACTGTTCACTGCAGTGTGACCTTGGGCAATTTACTTACACTGCAGTTTCCTCAACTGCAAAATCAGGCTAATGTCAGTATCTTTCTCCTAGTCTTCTTATGAGGATTGAATAACAAGAATGCCTGGTCCTTAGAAAGTGGTTGTTGTGTTAGCTTGCCCCTTTATGGAGAAAGTGGAACTTGCACTAGGCATTACAGGATGGGAAGGGTTTTGACTAATGTAGAAGCTAGAGGAGAAGAACTCTGGATGGAAAAGATGGGAAAAGAGCACATGTAGGTTAGATTAGGAAGAAACTGGAGTGGGAGTTGTGAGAGCCAAGGACAGAATCTTAGGACTGTTTCTGTAGCAGAAGAAGGAAGTATATTTGGTAAAGGAAGCTGAATTGAGCAGGCTGTGAGACTGGCAGAGAACCGGCGTAGTGTTGAGTTATGGGTACCAAAGAAATAAAAGCTCCAAGTAGCAGAAAGGTGGTTACTGGCATTAGATGCTACAGAAAAATGAGTAAGATAATGGTAAGAAGGTGCCTTTAGATTTAACAATTAGATGATCATTGATAATCATGGAGAAAGCAGTTTTACTGTAGTAGTGGGAACAGTTCTTAGTGTTATATAATGATGATGTTATATTAATTGTAATGTATGTTAAAGGGGAAAAAAAAGAAAACATGCTATGGAATTTTTGTCCAGGGAAATTTTCTAGCTTAATACAGAGACATATAGAAGGGCATGAAAGCCAGGTGTGGCAGCAAACATTTGTAATCCCAGCACTGTGGGAGGCTGAGGCAGGAAGATTTCAAGTTCGAATCCACCCTGAGCAACTTAGCAAGACCCTGTATCACAGTAAGAAAAAGGGCTGGGGATAGCTCAATGCAAAGGTCCTAGGTTCTATTACAAGTACTGCCGGGCCCGGGGGCAGTGAATGATAGATATAGAAAAAGATAGTGGGATTTTTAAACTGTGGCTGATACTTAGAAGAACTACAATATGCAAATAAAATTTCCAGTATCTTCTTTTTTTTTTTTTGGTACCAGGGATCAAACTCAGGTCCTTGTGCTTGCGCAAGCAGGTGGCAAATCCACTGAGCTAAATCCCCGGCCCTCCACTATCTTTTTAAAAGACATTTTGTAGTTGCACTCAGTATTCCAAATTTATATGTTTTTTGAAACTGGAAGTGGAATACGTCTCTTACCTTTGATGTTTTGGGTTTTTTTTCTGTCACTAAAATATTCATGGTGGACTTGAAAGTGACCTTGTCCTGACTTCAGAAATAGTGGTTAGCAAGGAGACTTAGTTTATTCCTCGGTGTGGCAACACTTGCCTGATGGGGAGACTTGTCATGGGCTTTAAATCATTACTGAGCTACAGCCGTGAAGGGAACCAGCCAGCCTGTTCTTCCTGACCACTCTGCCTAAGGAACTCAAGATTTCTGCCCCAGGTGGCCTAGAGAATGGGACCCATGTGGGCCTTGATGTGCACCATAACTCTGACTCCTTTGTGCACCCCAGGGCCCAGCCTGTTTCGGCACACTGACCTTTCTGCATGCTGACGTGAGTGTCTTGGTCCTCTCTGAGGCTATGGAGAAAAGAATGGCTTTTCGATTCATTAGAGTAGCAGGTGGCCTCCCATGTCGTGTTACTGTTTGGACTTATTTGTGCTTTGATGGCCTTAACTGCCTCAGCATTTCTTCTTAGAAGCGGAATTACAGTGAGTCTTACAGATTATTCCTTTGTGGCCAGGAGTGTGTGGGGGGAATGAAGGGGTCATTGAAGCAGATTAACATGTGGTTGCTTGGGCTGCTGAACCAGCCTCCTGAGGTTTAGTGCGTGGACTTGTGCTGACTGAGCTCTTGGCGTGTCATCTGGCGTGTCACCCAGTTTTGTGCTATATCATGGAAGACACATCCTGTTAGACTTTGGTTCCTTTTGGAATAATTTAATAGCATTTAAAAAAACTGTATTTGAACTAGTTCTAGAATTACAGATGGTTTTTTTTTGATACCGAGGATTGAACTCATGACCTTGCACTTGAGAGGCAGGCGTGGTGCCACTGAGCTACATCCCTGACCCCTAGATTTACAGATTTTAATAAAAATGTAATAATAGGGGAGGGGATGTGGCTCAGTGGCACTGATTTCGATTCCTGGTACCCCCTCCCCAAAGAAAAGTAATATAAACACATGTGTTTAAAAAGTAAATTTAAAAAAATACTTTGTCTGGAGTAAATACCTTGGATTTTTTTTTTGTTTTTGTTTTGGTACCAGGGATCAAACTTGGGGTCCTTGCGCTTGCGCAGCAGGCGGTGAAACCACTGAGCTAAATCCCCGGCCCTCCTACCTTTGTTTAACTTGTAATCCTTCCAACAGTTTTTAGGCCTTACAAATTTAAAGTAATTTTTATGTTTCCTGTAATCCACTTGCCATAGTGACAATGTGCAGTTTTTAAGTCGAGTATGTTTAAAAAGATTAAACTTCAATTAATTACTATATAAGATGTAACTGTGGGAGTTGAATGAATAACATTAAATGGTACAGATAATAAATTTACATTTGGTTCAATTTTCCATCACCCAGAAAGTAGTGTCCAGGATGTTAAAGTAAATATTTAAATGAATTACATGGTGAGGTTAAGATGTTTTTGTCACAAAGATTTCAAGAAATAGTATGTTTTCATTTGAGTTGTTTCTGCAGTTTTCTTCAGGTGATATTCCTGGAAATATGTGTCTGTAAAGTATAGTTTTTACTTAGTTTTCATTTCCCACAGAACCAGGAACAAACAGGGTGTGTCTCTTGTGGAGTTACTTAGAAGAATTGCCTTGATGTAATGAAAAATCAAACCTGAAGTAGTTTTATGAGACTATAAATGAAATAAAACCTGAATTGTTGTTAACACTAATAAATGCCCCTTTTAATGATGACAAGGAAAGAACTTTTAACTAATACGTTTTT